GTGAAAAAATTACCCACATTTACTAGGATCTAAAAATAAAAATAATAAAAAACAGTACATTATTACAATATTTTCTTCTCTAAGTAAAATAGGTTTGCTTCCTCGCTCCCTTCCTCCCATCTTTTATTTCTTCTTTCCTTCCTTCCTTTTCTTCTTTCTTTCTTTCTTTCTTTCTTATCAAAAACTAGCTTAAGAACCCATAGAGAATGAAACATCTAGTTCCATTTCTTTCCTCGTAGCTAATTTGGAAAATGGACTTGTGTGTTGGAAGATTCTTATGTCTTTTAAATGACATAAGAAAAAATAAAGTAACTGCTTTGTATTCATGACTCAATTTCCAGCAAGGCCCAATGGCTCTGGAAACATCTAGGTAACATTTGAGTGCTTATAAATATTAGCTTTACCTTGAGAGTCGGATAAAAGGCATCTGCCACGTGTTTACATTCCTACCTTCTACAAGCCTTTGCAATGTCCAGAGGTGACGTTTCTAAGCCAGCCAATCAGCATCCATGGACTCTCTGCAGTCATCCCTGGACACACAGAGGCATGGGCACCCCCTCCACTGTGTCACATAATCCTTGACACTGAACAATTGGTACACAAAGTGATCTGAATGCCTGGTCCTTCCCTGAGCCTCTGCCAACCCTCTCCTAAGATCCATAGCCATTTTCTTTTTCACTCCTGTGCCATCTAGGCCTTAATTATAATAATTTGGCAATGAGTCAGCCCTTGTGGGCTGCCGAAGAGTAGAGCATGAATAAGGATAGTCTATGAAATTCGTGGCCTTTCCCTGTATCTGCCAGGGTTATGCATTACCCTCCTATCAACTACCTGCTCTTTGTTTTAAGTTCAAAGGTCAAAAGTGAAATTAGGAACTATTTTCCAAGAAAGCAACAATGCATTTGGTATTCCAAGATGTTCAGCCTGATTCTATTGGTTATAAAATCAACTCTAAATTTCAATAAGTGACCTTTTATACTAATATGCAATGCCACATAGGTAAGTCCCTTCCTATGAGAGGGAGAGAGAGACTGTGTGCAGGGGAGAATGGCAAAATATAGGATTTCTTCCATTTCCCCCCAGTAAATAAATCTATAAGTAGTATGAAAAAAATCAGATATCCTTAAAAAGATACATCTCCCATAAACCAATGACAATCTGCTACTATGTCTTTTAAAGACTACATTCTTGCCAATATTAACACATTTTCAAGCCTCTTGCATAATTCCCTAAAAACGTACTATTACCTCTGAGCAATACACCAGAATGCAGTGGCAGGTGGATGTACCAGGCTCAACACCTAACTTAAAATTCACATACATGTATAATTTTATTCCGAGATTTCAGAATCTTCCAAGTAGACATCAGATTTCTTTTCTCTGACCTGATGATAGATGGTCTTTCAACAAGTCACCAGCTGTGCAATAACCCAACAGAGGCTTTACAGGGAAATTTTTTTCCAAGCACATCTAAAATAATTTGAGGTGTTTAGCAGGGACTTCCTGATTCAGACACAAGTAGCGTAATTCATTAGCAATAATGGAAATGGCTGCTTAGTGTTGACTGCACGTAAAGCTGGATGTTGACTCTACATTGTAATTGGACCATCCAGACACATCAAGATTTATAACTAAAATGTGTCTTGTTGTCTCTAAGATGCATGGCTCCCTGAACAGAAGAACAAACCCTTTTCCTCTTCTAATTGACGGAAAGGTCATTGAAAAGAACACCTGGTACAGAGAATAGTGCAATGTCCACAGTATTTGAACATTTAATTAATGCACTGAAATACAAACCAGGAGTGGTGCTAGACTTTACTTCCATCAAGCTGGAAAATACTGCACCAAAACGCCAAACGGGGCTATTTAATTCTTTAAAAAGTATGGCTATCAAATAGTAAGCCCCCAGAGAGACATTCTCCGTCTTTGGCCAGCTGGAGAGTGCATTACTTAGGAAAAATTAAGTAAAGAAATGCCTTCCCTGGCACATCCTGTAACAACACTTAATCTGTGCTCCTGTACATTGTGACTTCGCCTACAACTGTGAACTGTGGATTTAGAATTTTAAAAGACTCTGGGTACTGTTGGGGTTGAAATTAAAACCCCCGAGTCACTTTTCTTCCTTAAGACCCGTTCCTAAAGGTAAGCCAGCATCCTGGGGTTTCTCATCACGCCAAACCACAGAGCACCAGGTCACTAAATAGAAACCACAGTTTTCACCAGTTCCTCCCTCACCCCCTACCCTCAACCTCAAAGTCTGTCTTTCCTCAGCAGTTTGCAATTCTCTGAAAGGCCAGGAGCCCAGAAAGGGAGAACCAGCTCCTCAGCGCTTCCCTACGGGAGCTCAGCGCGGTTGCCAAATTCCTTTCCCTCCCCTCCTCCGCAACTTTTCTCTAAGTACCGCTTTCTGCCTACTCCAAGGCAGCGGCAGCAGCGCCTGGAATGTGTTTGGGGACCCTGGCAGCGGAACCCAGAGACGAGAGATCTGACCCGCGGCCCCCGCCGCCCGCCCTCGGCGGCCACCTGCCAGATCTATGCAGAGAGCGTGGAGGCCCTGAGCTCTCTTTGGGGAGAAGCTTTTCTACCTGGGAGAAACAAATCAAACGTTTATCCCGCGTCCGCCAGAGTGCCACAGGAACAGCCTCGGCGACACCGGCAGAGGAGTCTGACCCAGGGAGCCAAGCTCTGGCCAAGAGATCTCCATGTCCAGGGACCAGATTCCCTTCAGCTGCTGCCGACCTGTTGCTGTTAAACTTGTGCTGAGCTCTGCTGCCCGCCTCTGCGCTCCCAAGCCTCTCTCCCACCGCCCCAGCAGCCTCTCTTAGAGGCCAGGAGGGAACGGGTGCCGGGTTGGGTTGGGGGGCGGGGGTAGACGTTAGAAGTTTCAGGCCCAAGACATATTTGGGGAGGTGGGTGCTTAAATGACCCCCTCTAATATCCCAACCAGACCACCTCAGCCTGAATAGGCAGCCTGGGTCGGTCAGAGGTGCCTGGAGACCGCCCCCCTCGCGTCCCTCCGGGTCTGACCTGATCAAAGTAGATGATGCGCGTCTTGTTGCTCATCTCAGATGGCTCGTGGTTGGTGCTCCGCACCGCCGAGAAGGCGACCTTGGAGTTGGCCGCCCGGACCGATATCCCCAGAGGGGAGGAAGAGGAACCCTTGGAGTCTGTTGCCGGGTTCGAGTCGCATACCACCAGACACTTGCCCTCCAGTACGATGGGCTCCGTGTCGTTCTGCGCCCAGACGGGCAGCCCCGGCAGCGTGAGGACCAGCAGAACGGCCGGCACCACGGACAGCGCCCGGCGCCCGGAGCCCATGGTAAGCCGCTTGGGCAGCCGCAGCCGGCTGGCGCTTCTGCTCGCCCGCGTCGCCTACCCCGGGATCCCGGAGCTCGGGATGATGCAGGTGGCTAGGTCGACAGCGTTGCAGGAACGACGGCGGCGGCGCGCACACTTCCACCAGTTCTGTGGTTTGAAGTCAAAGTCTCCCTTCGAGCTCTATCGCTGGCTCTGTTACCTTTGTCCTTTAAGGAGCTCATGCAGAACCCCCTACCCTACCCTCCTCCGCCCAAGAATCAGCCCTGCCTGGGGCCCCTGTGCCCACCCTTGTCCCTAGACATCTAAAAGTCACCAAACCCTCACATTCGCACCTCAAAGGAAAAAATAATAATAAATTCTCACCCCAAACCCAAGCACCACCAGATAAACCACAGAACAGGAAAAACGGGGAAAGCAAAGAGAAGCCGCGAGCGTGGCGGTGCCAAGTGGTGCGAGTGTCGGTCCTGTACGAGTCTGGCTTGCGGCAGGAACGAGTTACAGAGGCAGACGGTGTTTCCAGCACCCAGAAGAACGCAAGGCTGTGTTCATGGCCAGGACGCTAGCGACTCCCACTTTCGCTTGGTCAAAAATTCCCCAAATCTGGTGCCACTCAGAGATAGGAAGGTAGGCAGCAGCTTGCCGGGCGCCCCGCACCGAAAGCACACGCTCGCGGGATCAGTTCCAGGGCGCTGGGCGCAGGGCGCAGGGTAGCTCGTCCAGCGGGGTCCTCTCCTGCCTCTCCTCACGCCCCAGTCCCTGCGCACAACTTTCTCTCTCCCAGCGCAGCCCGGAGAGCGCCAAGCGGGCACACGCGCGCTATTTATAGGAGTGCAGCGTCCGGCTGGGGTTGGCTTATTGCTCAACCCGCGGGCTCCGGGGAAAGGGGGAGAAGGCGTCTGGTGACCCCATCTGAGCAGCTCCCTCCTGACGTTTAACGCACCGTGGAGCAAGCGGGACGCACAGCACTGCTGACTGGCAAGGTCCGAGGCCACTCGGGCCCCGAGAGCGCGCGGCGCGGAGGGCGTGTGCCCAGGGAGAGGAGCCCACAGCCCTGCGCTTGCCCAGCTCCGCGCCTGCTCGCCTCCGGGTCGGTCGGGTCCCGCCGAGAGGGCTGCGGCTCCGCTCGCCCCTCCCCAGCGCGGGACTCTGCGGCCGAGCGCCCTCCGAGCGGAGCGCGGCGCTGCCAGACCGGGTTGCGGAGACGGAGGGGCCGCGGCGGACCCGCTCGGCGCTCTGCCCGGAGCCCGGGGACCCGCTGGCGTCCAGACCGCGCCTGGCGGGGAGCCGGCCCCGCCGAGCCCTCCCGCCTGCCGCGCTCAGGGAAGCCTCGGGGCGGCCCAGACCCGTGGGGGCGGCGGGGAGGAGGTGCCTGATTCCTTCCTTCCGCTCCGGGAAGAAGAGCCCCAGAAGCCGCAGGGGCGCGCCTCCCACCCACACCGCGAATCCACCCCAAGGCCAAAAAAAGAGTGAGAGAGGGAGTTAACTCAGCCAGAGTAAGTGCTCTGAAACCTGCCACCTGAACAAACAGGCCAACCCCGCCGCTAAGCATACAGCATCCTTCGCCCCTTTTGACGCGCCTCCCTCCCCCGCGACACCCACTGCCATCTTGGCCTCTGATTGGCAAGTGTTGTCGTCCTCTTCCGCAGCCACCACGGGGAAGGGCGGCTTGTCCCTGTCTGTGACGGGCTGCGTGAACTTGGCCAAGTCACTTACCCTCACTGAGAGGGCGGCACTTGGTTTACTAAGCTCCCGTGAGCTTTCCCGTCTGTGATGATTGGGGTCATGGCGCTTCCTGCCTGAATTCCTCCTAGACTTCCAGCTCCGGAGGGCAATCACCACATCTCTACTCAAAACAGCATTCCCCCCAGGCATTCGGAGCTCCTAAAATTGCATTGATGAGTTTTTAACTGCAGGGATGTTTGTTGAGGGATGTCCTTGGGATGGGCGGCTCCCTGTTCCCTCCTGAGTGAAGGGCATCCTCATCAGCTTGGCATTCAAGCCCTCCGCAACAGAAGCCAGACCCTAGTCTCCAGAATTGTCCCCTCACGTGTTCCTTCAGGAGGGCGGGGTAGTGTGCCATAAGCGCCACCCGGCTTTTGGCACAGCTCCAATTGTTACAATTGGAGATACTACTACTGGTTGGTAATCCCCCAGCCTCCACCTTCCTGTAATCTCTAAACTAGAGTTGATGCTTGGTGCCACAGAGGCCTTCAGATCCTGCTCCAGTGGGGCCAGTATCAGTTCTGATTGGCAGGTGCTGGTGCCCTGCTATTTGTTACAATGTTGAATGTCATCAAATCTAAGCTACGACCAAACTGGTAAACTGGTGCCTTCTAAGGACACCACCATTGGGGCTAAGTAGCTTTGATGCCCCAATCTGGGCCCAGCCCAGCTTTTCACCTCTCTGCACTTTGTAACTCCCTTCCAGCTTTTGCCACGGACTTCCTGAATGACAGATGCAATTGCTTCTCATTTGATGCTGTCGTTTGAGGGCAGGTGCTGAATCTAATTTACTTCCTTTTTTCCTGTAGGGGTGAGCACTCTGCCTTCCTTGTCCCAAACAGCTGTTCAGTACCTAAGACTTGGGCTGTTCAATTTCAGGCTGGGAGGAGTTTGGGGGGAAAGCTCTATTGACTACAGGGTTGTTAAACGTGAAATACACTATCTTCCCCACCCACCCCAATGTATTCTCTCTGCATCCTTTTCTTCTTCGGGCACTTCCTTCCTGCAAGAACTCAGATTTTAAAAACTTCTTCCTTTCCTCCTCTTTCCATCACCAAAAAAGTATTCATTTGTAGTCCCAAAATCTAGCAAGTAACCATATTAGGGACTCAATAATTGATTAAGGAATGACTGAATGCTCCCAGATAAAATGTAATTTATCATTCACCTTATAGTATAAACTGGTTTAAATGAGTCTCTCTCAGTAGTATTTAAATTCCAAGCCTCCTGGGTAATTGGAGATGAAAGTCTTGGTTCCTTACTAAAGGATGTTCTGCTATTCAAGGTGTTCTGAAGATGTGGAACACAACATTTTCTGTGGACTCCTGCTAGGAGAAACTAGCTATCTGATATTGTTAATCAAAGAATCCTGTCTCTTTTTGCCACAACAGTTGATTGAACAGGGATAGCCTCCTGGGTTTGAGGGCTGTCAATCTATTTGATACCAGAAGTCCGTGACTTGTATTATATGAAGCCAAATTACAGACTTGTTTTGTACGAAGATGGTATTGTGGAGAAAACTACATAGGTGATCAAAAATATTTTTTTAAATTGGTTTCAGAATTTGAAAATTGTTTGAGACAGTTCCTCTAGATAGTTTCTTCCAATCACCGCATTGGCCAACAAGGTACACGTTTAAGACATCAGCAAGCAGTTAGACCTCTTGACAGATGACAGCTTGGCCAGATGAGTTGAAGCTGCCAGATTTTCTTTCTCTGGAATCTGGATAAGACATAGAGATGGCTTCCGGTAAGCACTAGGTGCTGCAGAGGCAAAGTTTGTAGTCTCCCAAACTGGATATGGCCTGGAGTCACCTGCAAGCAGAAGCAGAAGAAGGGGTTGAAAGAAACGAGAGGACTGACCATGTTTGGAGACAGAAGCCAATTCTGGAGCACCGAGTACTTCTGAGACACAGAAGCAGTGAATAGTCAATCCGAATCCATACTCACAAGAGGTCTATGAATACGTTTTCCTAACATTGGGTTTTTGGGGATCCTCCTATATCCTTGCGATGAAACCCATTTCACTTAAGCTAGTTTTAGTAACTTACTGCTCCTTGTCATCCATAATCCTCATTAGAACATTGTCCCAGAAATCATACCACAAAAGGCCATGGATCTGCTGCCAAAAGGCATTAACAAATCAATCTCCTGCCTATGGAAAATGCTTTCCCAACATTTTAGAAGAGGAGGCATCCCTGCTCCCCACCCCTTACTCCAGCACCAGTATCCGCAGGAGAAAAGAAACAGGGTCTGGACAAAGTTTCTCTCCAGCCACAGCACAGTTCTGTTTCTTTTTTCTTTTTCTTTTCTTTTTTTTTCCAATTGAAAAGGTGCTATTAGAAGACTTAGCTGTGACCCAAATATTTCCCTTCTCGGATATTCCCATATTATACTTGATGCCCAGGATTTTGTTGTTGTTGTTGTTGTTGTTGTTAGACCTTGAGAGATGAGGCAAGAATGCATTTCCCTTCTCTGCAATTGAGCTCCACTTTAAAGTAAATTAGAATCTAAACAGACCATGCATAGGAAAGCAATATTTCTGAGATCAGGAAATTCAATGACTGCTTATCCAGCCATCCCTTAGAGAAACCAAGTTTCAAGCAAGCTCAAGACAGCAAAGATCCATGAGCAATTTTCTGATTCTGAAGAAAATGTGTCTAAGAAGGCAGAGACAGACACACAAGGTGTTCAGCTCTAAGGGCCCTGTCTGTGGTTGAACAAAAGAAGGCCCCACGCATCATGTAGCAGAAACAGCCAGTCGTGCAGAAGGTGGGAAATCGAGGGAGAGTGAGCAGTGAGGCTTGCATCACACAAAGGCCCACTGAGTCGCTAAACTGCCCTTTCTTTGCTCTATCATGATGGTTATCAACCCAAGCAAATGCTCTTCTTCGAGGGATAGTAAGCAGCTTAAGAAGACAAAGTCTTTGGAACAACCAATATGTGAGTACTTATATATATTCCGGAAAGTTCCAGAGCCATGTTGTGTAAATCTTCCTGGCTCCTTTTGGAGACAGTCAAATTATGGACTTGTTTTGCATGAAGACGGTATTGTGGGAAAAACTAAATGGATGATTAAAAAGCCTTTTTTTTTATTGGTTTTAGAATTTGAAAATTGTTTGAGATGGTTCCTCCAGATAGTTTCTTCCAATCACCACATTGGCCAACAAGGTATGTGTCTAAGATGTCAGCCAGCAGTGAGACTTCTTGACAGATTTTGATGCCCCTTTTTGGCCTTACCGTAATATCTGTGCTTGTCTCAGTCATTACATTTATCACAGTTTTTTTTTTTAAGTTGCTGATTTATTTGTTGTGTTTTCCATGGATTATTAACTCTTTGGAAGCACAAAACTTATCTAAGAGTAGGTATGCATAAATTAATTAAATTAAAGTTTACTGAAAAAAGTGGTTTATCTGTGCTCTTATTTCTTATAGGGGAAACAATGTAACATTTAATCACTATAAATAAGTATGATATGAAAAGAAAAATGTTTTTAGAAATTTTGGATGGCTTGAAATGTTTAGTCTGCCCTTAGTAACTAAGAATGAAGACCAATGAAACCTGAGGGCATTTATTGGAAGGACCACATCTCACAGGGTCCAAGGGCAGAGTTGAGCCTTGAGGCTATAGTGAAACCTTGGGGATGACCCAAAATGTTGCCTATGCCTCTCTCTCTCTCTCTCTCTCTCTCTCTTTCTTTCTCTCTCTTTCTCCTTGACACATCTGCATTATTCTTTGACTCATTACAATCTACCTTTTCTCACATGAGGAAAAATGGCAACTGACACTCCCAAATTTCATACATAACACAGCCATCCACACAGAGGAAGCCCCAACATCCCAGAGAAAAGATGCATTGCCA